TCCTGCACCCACATGTCCTCCTCTCCATCCTCTTCTCCTTCTCTCTTTCTCCTTGGTCCCTCTCCCCTCTGCTTATGCTTCCAATCTTCTCAGGAGAGCCTGTCCCATTCTCCTTCTCTGGAGTACCATGCATATCTCTCTTAGGGTCCTCCTTGTCTCCCAGACTCTCTGACGATGGGATTGTAGGCTGTCAATCCCCTGATCCATGTCAAAAATTCATATATGAGTGAGTACATATCATGTTTGTCTTTTTGTGACTGGGCTACCTCACTCAAGATGGTTTCTTCTAGTGCTGTCCATTTGCCTGCAAATTTCAAGATTCCATTGTTTTTTTTTCTGCTGAATAGTACTCCATTGTGTAAATGTACCACATTGTCTCTATCCACTCTTCAGTTGAGGGGCATCTATGCTGCTTCCAGGTTCTGACTATTACAAAAAAATGCTCCTATGAACATAGTGGAATAGATGTCCTTGTTGTATGAATGTGCATCTTTTAGGTATATGCCTAAGAGTGGAATTGCTGGATCTTGTGGTAGACTGATTCCCATTTTCATGAGGAATCTCCATACTGATTTCCACTACCAGTAGTGGAGGAGTGTTCCCTTGTCTTCACATACTCTCCAGCATAAACTGTCATTGGTGTTTTTTGAATTTAGCCATTCTGACAGGAGGAAGATGGTATCTCAGAGTTGTTTTGATTGGCATTTCCCTGATGGCTAAAGATGTTGAGCACTTTCTTTAATTGTCTATCAGCTATTTTAGACTCCTGTATTGAGAATTCTTTATTTAGTTCTGTAGCCCACTTTTTAATTGGATCCTTTGGTGTTTTGGACACTTGCTTCTTGAGTTCTTTATAAATTTTGGAGATCAACCCTCTGTCAGTTGTGGGGTTAGTGAATATCTTTTCCCATTCTGTGGGCTATCTTTTTGTCTTGTTGATTGTGTCCTTTGCCTTACAGAAGCTTCTCAGTTTGTGGAGGTCCCATTTATCAATTGTCAATTTCAGTGTCTGTGCTACTGGTGTTGTGTTCAGGAAACAGTCCTGTACAAATTTGTTAAAGGGTACCACCCATTTTCTCTTCTAAGAAGTTCAGTGTGGCTGGATTTGTGTTGAGGTCTTTGATCCATTTGGACTTAAGTTTTGTGCATGATGATAAACATGGATCTATCTACATGCCCACATCCAGTTATGTCAGCACTATTTTGTCGGGGGGAAGTCCTGTGCATTTGTCAATAAAGCACTGCTGGCCTATAGGGAATCAAGATATGAGGCTCCAAATGATGCTGTAACAATAAGCGACACACTTACTGAAAGTAAAACTAAGTATTTATTGTAGAAATTACTCACAAGATATCAAACAAGTAACCCAGATGAGCCAAGTAGTTTTCCCGCTGCTGAACCGGAAGAAGAACTCCAGGAAAAGAGACCAATACTTCCTGTGTGCTGTCTTTTATGCCTTCCCCCGTAATGCCCCCTAGCCATGCTCAAAAGTGGGCCGGACTAGTGACGTAGTTCACTGCCTATGTACGTATATGTCTTTACGTCCGTCCGTATAGGTCTTTAGTCATGCCTAAAGTGGGTGTGGTTAGCGGTGTGGTAAACCGCTCTTACCTCATCTGTATGCGCCTCTAGTAAGTCACATGGTTAATGGCGGCATACAGGCTTTCTCCTACACTATTTGTTGAAGATACTTTCCTTTTTCCATTGTATAATTTTAGCTTCTTTGTCAAAACTCAAGGGTTCGTAGGTGTGTGGGTTCATATCAGGGTTTTCAATTTGATTCCATTGGTGTAGTTGTCTATTTTTGTGACAATATCAAGCTGCTTTCAGGACTATAGCTCTAAATAGCGCTTGGAATCAGGGTTGCTGATGCCTCTGGATGTTGCTTTGTTGAACAGGGTTGTTTCAGCTATCCTGGGTCTTTTGTTTTTCCACATAAAGTTGATTATTGTTCTTTCATGGTCTATGAAGAATTGTGCTTGTATTTTGATGGGGATTGCATTGAATCTGTAGATTGCTTTTGGTAAGATTGCCATTTTTACTATGTTGATCCTACCTATCCAAGAGCATGGGAGATCTTTCCATTTTCTGGTAACTTCTTTAATTTCATTCTTTAAAGACTCAAAGTTCTTGCTATACAGGTCTTTCACTTGTTTGGTTATCATTACCCCAAGATATTTAATGTTGTTTGTGGCTATTATAAAGGGTGATGTTTCTTTTATTTCTTTGTCAACCAATTTATCGTCTGTATATAGTAGGGCCACTGCTTCTTTTGAATTAATCTTGTATCCTGTCACTTTGCTGAAGGTATTTATCAGCTGTAGGAGTTCCCTGGTAGAATTTTTTCAGGTCACTTATGTAAACTATTGTATCATCTGCAAATAGTGAAAGTTTGACCTCTTCCTTTCCAATTTGTATACCCTTGATCTCCTTTTGTTGTCTTATTGCTCTAGCTTGAACTTCAAGTACAATATTGAAGAGATATTGAGTTAACAGCCTTGTCTTGGTCCTGATTTTAGAGGAATCACGCTGATTTTTCTGTCCATTTAGTTTGATGTTGGCTGTTGGTTTACTGTGTATTGCTTTTATTATGTTCAGATATGTTCCTGTTATCCCTGATCTCTCCAGGACCTTTATCATGAAGCGGTGTTGGATTTTGTCAAAGGCTTTTTAAGCATCTAGTGAGATGATCATGTGATTTTTCTTTTTTAGGTTGTTTATATCGTGAATTACACTGATGGATTTTCTTATGTTGTAACATCCCTGCATCCCTGATGAAGCCTACTTAATCATGGTAAATGATTTTTCTGATGTGTTCTTGGATTTGCCAGTATTTTACTGAGTATTTTTGAGTGAATGTTCATGAGGGAGATTAATCTGTAGTTCTGTTTCTTAGTTGTGTCTTTGTATGGCTTGAATACCAAAGTAATTGTAGACTCGTATAAAGAGTTTGGCAATGAACCTTCTGCTTCAATTGTGTGGAACACTTTGAGGAGTATTGGTATTAGCTCTTCTTTGAATTTCTGGCAGAATTCTGCACTGAAGCCATATAGGCCTGGGCTTTTTTTTTTTGGTTCGGAGACTTTTGATGACTGCTTCTATTTCATTATGGGTTATAGGTCTGTTTAGATTGCTAATCAATTCTTGATTTAATTTTGGCAAGTGATATCTATCCTGAAAATTGTCCATTTCCTTTAAATTTTCAAATTTTGTGGAGTACAGCTTTTCAAAGTATTACCCGAAGATTCTCCTAATTTCCTCAGTGTTTGTTGTTATGTCCCCCTTTTCATTCCTGATTTAGTTAATTTGCCTGTTCTTTCTCTCTGCCTTTTGGTTAGTTTGGATAAATGTTTGTTTTTCTTGTTGATTTTCTCAAAGAACTAACTCTTTGTTACACTGATTCTTTGTATCCTTTTCACACACTGATTCTTTGTATCCTTTTCTTTGTTTCAACTTTATTATTTTTCTCTCTCAGTTTGATTATTTCCTGGCATCTACTCTTCCAGGGTGAGTTTGCTTATTTTTGTTCTAGAGTTTTCAGTTGTGCTGTTAATAGTATGACTATTCTCCAGTTTCTTCATGTGAACACTTAGTGCTTTGGACTTTCTTTTTAGTGATGCTTTCAAAGTGTCCCATAACTTTGGGTATGTTGAGTCTTCATTTTCATTGAATTCTAGGAAGTCTTTAATTACTTTATTTTTTTTCCTTGACCCATGAATGGTGCAGTTGCATGTTGTTCAATTTCTATGAGTTTGTAGGGTTTCTGCAATTTGTATTTTTTGTTGAATTCTAACTTTAAACCAAGGTGACCCACTAGGATACAGGGGGTTATTCTATTTTTTTGTATCTGTTGAAGTTTGCTATGTTTCTGAGTATGTGGTTGATTTTAGAGAATGCTCTATGGCACTGAGAAGAAAGTATATCTTGTGTTTGGATGGAACATTCTATAGATGTCTGTTAATCCCAGTTGGGTAATAACTTCTGTTAGTTCTTCTGTTTCTTTTTTAAGTTTCTGTCTGGTTGTCCTGTCTAGTGATAAGAGTGAAGTGTTGAAATATCCCACTATAACTGTGTGAGGTCTTATGTGTACTTTGTGTTTTAGTAATGTTTCTTTTATGAACGTGGATGCCTTTGTATTTGGGGCATAGATGTTCAGAATTGAGACTTCATCTTGCTGGACTTTTCCTGTGATGAATATGAAATGACCTTCTTTATCTCTTTTGATTGATTTTAGTTTAAAGTCTAATTTGTTAGATACTAGGGTAGCTATACCAGCTTGTTTCTTGGGTCCATTTGATTGAAAAATCTTATTCCAACTCTTTACTCTGAGGTAATGTCTGTCTTTGAAGTTGAGGTATATTTCTTATATGCAGCAGAAGGATGGATTTTGTCTTTGTATCCACTCTGTTAGCCTGTGTCTTTTCATAGGCAAATTAAGACCATTAATATTGAGGGAAATTAAGGACTATTGAGAGTTAATTCTTGTTTGTTTTTGATTTGTTGTTGTTGGTTTTATTGTGGATTTACTAGGCTTTTTCTTTTGGCTTTTGGTAAAGTGGGATTATCTATTGCCTATATTTTTGGAGTGTAGCTAGCTTCCCTGGGTTGGAGTTTCCTTCCATAACTTTCTTTCTGCAGGGCTGTATTAGTGGATATGTATTGTTTAAATCTCGTTTTGTCATGGAATACCTTGTTTTCTCCATTTATAGTGATTGAAAGCTTTGTTAGGTATTGTAGTCTGGGCTGGCATCCATGGTCTCTTAGTGTTTGTAAAATATCTATCCAGAACCTTCTGACTTTCAGAGTTTCCATGGAGAAGTCAGGTGTGATTCTTATAGGTTTGTCTTTATATTTACTTGGCCTTTTTCCTTTGCTGCTCTTAATATTCTTTCTTTATCCTGTATGTTTGGTGTTTTAATTATGTGCCCAGGGGATTTTTTTCTTGTGGTCCACTCTATTTGGTGTTCTGTAGGCTTCTTGTACTTTCATTGGCATGTCTAAAAATATGGAATGCTTCATGAATTTGTGTGCTATTGTTGCCCAGGGGCCATACTAATCTTTGTATCATTCCAATTTTAATATATGTGCTGCTAAAGCCAGCACTTAAATAGCTATCTTAACTGAAATGGTGTATGCATTTTAGTCATAGGTTCAAAATTCTATATCACAAGTGACATGTGTAAAGGAGATATATGTGTGTTGAGTGTTGGTGGGGTTTGTGTGTGTGTGTGGTGGAGGCATGGGTTTTCAGCTACTGGGGACTCACTCTTTGGCAGCATCTCTGTCTCCATGACAGTGGTGGGAGGAGGTGGTGTCTGGTGATCACAGATCTTAATTTGCATCGGAGCCAAGTGTTGACTCATCTTTCACTTTTAAATTAGGTTGTTCAGCTGCCTTACAGGTTCAGGAAAGGACTCAGGTCAAGATGCAGGCTCTTCTCTGACTGTTAATGAGATCTAAGACAGCTTCTACCTTTATGTCCCAAATGATGGGAATACAAATTCAGAAATTACAGAAGTGGCATTTCTTAGAGGGGGTGAAACAGAAAGACCAGCTTGTGCCTGCTTGACTTATTGCTAGAGGGCAGTCCCTGCTTTCAGTCCTGCTGTACCTACAGGTATGCAGGCATGCACACAAATGCCAGTTCTTTGGTAGCTGTGCCTGTGATGTATGTATGGGAATGTGCAAAGCATGTGATACATATGTGTGTTACATCTGTGTGTATGTGTGTAGTGTGAGACTACATGCAATCTTTCTAATATTAAGCATCTTTAAAAAAAAAAGAAAGAAAAAAGAAAAACTTCTTATCCAGAGGAGAGTGTATTCCTTGGCCTGCAAGCCTTTTTTTTGTATTTTAAATTTTCTTCTTAAATATTTTTAATACATGCATACAATATATTTGAATTGAATCCATCCAACCCCGACCATTCACTTGCCTCCAACTTCTCCAGTTTCCCTTCCAACTTTATGTTGTCTGTCCGTCTGTCTCTCTCAGAAAATTTTAATACTCTCTGAGTCGACTTTCTGCTGCCTGTGTGTTCATGGATGTGGAACCATGTCACCAGAGCATGGGTAGCCTTTCAGCACTGGCATCCCTGGGGAAAGCTGACTCTCTCCCCGTGACATCAGTTGCCAATAGCTTCTTACAGGGGTGCGACTTCATGAGCCTCTTCTCTAGGCATGCTGGGATTGTGGCTGCCCTGATCGTAGGCAAGTCTTGTGTATGCAGTCACAGCTGTCAGGAGTTCATATGTGTGACTGTACTGCATGGCTCACCATTGCTTCCTCACCGCACATCTCTACTCTCTCTGGCTTTTGCGATCTTTTCATCCCTTCTTTCACAATGATCCCTAGACTTTGAGGTTTGGGTGTGATGTAGACATCTCATTTAGATGTGAGCACTCCGCTGTCTCCTACACGCTGTATGTTAACCGGTTGTTGATGCTTTTATTCCCCAACATATGGTATAAAGAGAATAACACAACAGTAGATCTCCCCTAGAGCTGATGATGTCGTCAGCCATTGTTTTGGCTCAGTGAACAATATCCGGCATGGGGTCTATCTTATAGAGCAGACCTAAAATCCAATCAGAAAGTGATTATTCCCTTATAATCCTTGCCGCTATTGTACAGGTGGGCATATCTCTCCAGGCCAGACATTATTGTAGCTCACAGAATTCTCATATAGGCAAGACTGATGGTGACTTTACTCTCCTGGTAGCATGCATAGAACCTTCCAGCACCAGTAGTAACAGAGCTTCCAAGTTGGCATTAGCTTCATTTCTCCATGTCCTATGACTCATGTTATTTTAGATTTTGAAATAGAAGTTTGCGTAGCCTCATAATATGCTTGTAATAAAATTCATCACACTCTCACTTCATTAAAAATTTTCCACATTGTTCTATAAACCCATTAGCTTATAGGCAACAGACAGCAGAGGACCTATCAGCCTTCTATGGCCAATCCAGGTGGGCTTCGGTGGACGTGGTGGAGAAAGATGCCTCACTATCTTCCCTGAGAGCAAGGCCTGTCTATCACAGTAGGCAGTGGGTCAGTGGCCCTTTTCAGATATGTTGTGTAAGATCACTGGGCTCTGTAGTAAGTGATGCAGATTAGCAGCTGTGTGTGTGTGTGCGTGTGTGTGAAATATGGTGCGTGGAGGCCAGAAATTAATGTTTCTATCCACCTCATTAAAATCTTATTAGTTTTTTGAGAATTTGTTACAATGTGCTTTCATCCTATTCGCCCCATGCCCCAACCTCTCCCAGATCCACACCTTCTTTCCTACCTACTAAATTTGTGTCTGCTTCTTTTTATTTTTCACCAAAAAGTCCACATTGTGTTACCTATATATTCTTAGGTGTGTGGCCTGCTTCCTGAGTATGGCCAACTTCCATGTGATTACACTCTTTAAGAAAACTGATCTCTTCTCCCCCAGAAGTTCCTGGGTGCCCGTTGGTCTGGGTGTGGGATTTCTTGTCTGATTCTCTTTTCCATGCCAGGGTTTAGCCTGACTTGAGCTTGCATGGAGGTAGTGTATACTGTCGCAGTCACTGTGAGTTCATATGTACAGAGTCCTGTTGAGTCTAGAGGACACTGTTTCCTTGTAGCATTCACTACCTCTGGCTCTCAAGTCTTTCTACAAGGATCTGCTAGTCTTGGGAGGAGGGCATGTGGTATAGCTGTCCCATTTAGGGTTGAGGATTCCAGGGTTCATTATTCTTTGCACCTTGACCAGTCGTGAGTCTCTATGTTAGTAACCCCCTATTCCAAACGTAAGTCATTACTACTGTGTCTATTTTAGCCGAATATTAGTAGATTCTCCCCTACAGCCTGTGGTTCATGGCCTAACAATGACACCAGCTATGGGTTTCATCTTGTTGGGTGGACTTAAATCTAATAAGAAAGTGGTGGTTTTTGCCTGTGGTGTTTTTTATCACTGATGTACTTGTGGGTGTGCCTTGCTAGGCTTCTAGTCAACATCTGGAGAGTGCTTCTAAAGCTATAGGCTACATCTCACCATAGCTAGATGTTTCTCCCAGGCCTCATTCAGACCTTACAATAAGCCCTCAAGAACCCCACCTGGTACATTGTTCTCCTTGTTTACCTAATAGGGATAACCCTGCCTTCCCTCCTCCAAGACTGTGAAGAGGCATGAAAAGAAGTCTTCCTGGGGTGTTGCATCAGCTCCAGCTGCTCCGTGGATGTCAGGACCCAGGAATACCTTGAATGCAATGGGGACGGTGTCAGTAGCAACTTCTAGATCCATGCCATTGCAGATTGATGCCACGTGTTTGACATCATGAGCAAAATGCCACCAGCCTGATCTGACACACACGCACACGCGCGCGCACACGCACACACACACATACACACACACATACACACACACACACACAGAGAGAGAGAGAGAGAGAGAGAGAGAGAGAGAGAGAGGAGATTGCACTTCTCCTTGCGAGTCTGTGCTAATTTAGACAGATTTTTCTCCCACTTGCTTCTACCAGGAATGGGTAAGTGAAGCTCAGAGTTAGCACTTAGATAGAGGGAGGGAGACAAGTGTGTGGAAGGGAGACCAGGGATAGTAATGGCAGCCTCCAGGCTTCTCTGAAAGCAGCTTCCCCAAGTCTCAACACAATGAAGGCCCAAGGGAGTCCACAGCTGCCAAGGATTTTCATTAATCTCAGATCCTTGGGCTGCTGAATTTGACTAAATTGTTTGGGTGATTGTATAATTAGTGCATTTTTTCTTCCCTAATAACTGAAGCTACTTTAATTAAACACTATATGGGCAAAATGCAGAATGAATGAATGATTGCAGCTTGCAATTATGGTTGGGAATATTCCCCTAACCTATGTAGCTCCTGGGTTTGGTGTGTGTGTGTGTGTGTGTGTGTGTGTGTGTGTGTGTGTATGTGCGCATACGTGCTCTTTAGTAATTTGTGTTATGAGGTGTTAGCCAGGTAAACACAAGGACCTGGCTTCAAATCCTCAAATGCACAGGAAAGCCAGATGGGTAGTGGGAGTGTCAGTACGCCCGGTGCTCCTATAGGAAGATGGGTGGCAGAGACTGCGGAAACTTCAAAGCCTGTGGGCCAGCTAGTTTGCTGAAAACAACAGAGAAATAGCGATGGGACCCAGATTCCAATGAGGACCAACATCCTCGACACCCAAGGATGCCCTCTGACCCCCACATGAGTGTTGTAGCACGTGTGTGCCCATGTTGACACTCGGCGCATACACACACACACACATACACACACACACACACACACACAGAGCACATAAGGAACTCCTGTGACTAACTGCTGTGTGGCATTTAAAGTTGCCTTGCTCTTCCACCCACTGGTCCCATTCTATCTTCTAGAATAACAAGGAATTATGGGAACCATTCTTCTTTGCAGCAGCTCTCCCAATTATCCATACTTAACAAGTAGACCAGATGGCACAGCCGTTGGCCAGCGCATCTGGCGTTGGACAGACTGACTAGGGGAAGTAAAAACTCTGGCTGACTGTAGGGGTGTCTTTGGGAGTCTGCTTGGCTATTTGGGCTTTAGAGCAGAATATATAGCATGAGGCAATAACTGTGCCCCAAACCTAAATAAAATTGTAGCACTCATGGCACAGAGTAAACATGTAATAAATGCTAGCTACTAGCTATCTTGAGACATTTTATTAGGTTAAAAAGACAGTAAAATCTTGATTCACAGCCACAGAAAGGTCAGGGTCCATTGGAAGAAACAAGCATGTAAATACAAAGCACAGACATAAATAAAAGAGTGCAATGTCACCTGTGCTGACAGAGACTTTGTGTGCACTGAGGTGGGGACCTGTCACCAGCCACCTTCCTAAGATCCACCACCTCCCTCCATGCTCCAGGTACAGGCATCTCACTAAAGAGACTGCCACATTGCTCTCCCTCATGGAGGTCAGTCCAAGAACTGAATCTGGGGAGTGTGGGAACCCATTCATGTGCCCTGTATACTCCCCCAAAGACTTCAACTCACAAGACACTTGGGACAGGAAGCAAGTCTTGGATGGCATTTTTGAGGGGAGGAGACACTGAAATTTATATATGTACACACACATACATTGCTATATATTATG